TATGACATCCAATTTAAAGGAAACGGTTGGCAACAAAATCTTGGGTACACTATTTTTCGGTACCCCAAGCAGAGGGAATCCATGGAAATTTCACAGCTGACTTGACAGTCCACTTTTTCAAGGGGTACAAGTGTGCTGATACTGTCGTTTCTCTTCTAGTGTTTTTTGTGAGTTATATAACTGTCTGTTAGTGATGCAGGCGGCTGCTTTTTGATGCGCAATTGCCCGGTGTACAATACTGGTCATGTCTATATATTGTTTTGTCGTGTAAATATATAGCGTACTTTATCTTTATATCATATCCGCTTTATGAAAGAAAGATGCTGCAATCAATCCCTACGTGAATTTTTTTTTTTTTTGGGGGGGGGGGGGGGGGGATGGGGTAGATTGTTATTGTTGTGTGGTTTTTTTTTTTGTATTAAATGTAATTTTTTTTTTTTTTTTAGCTTTCCTTCGAATAATGGTCCCACATTATCGATGCAGAAAATATACCCTATCAGGACTTTAGTCACATGTAAATTGCGAACCTCTTTCCGGAGACTATACCACCACCGTCGAGAGTATCCCGCGGGCCGCTACAAATAAAAAGGAGGAAGCTGCAGGAGATGCGGTAACTGCAGCTCATGAGTCCCAGCCATCTATTTTAGCCTCGCTCCGCGCCGCTGGGATGCTCTCGGCGGTCGCGGTATAGTCGGCGGAAAGAGGTTCGCAATCTGCCGTACGGGTATGTCCAGACGACAGGTGGACTTTCGACACCAGCAAATTTAGATTAGGATCACGCTGGGACAGGTCCCATAAACCCCGTTCAACCCATAGGTTAGGTTATATTAGGGCCCCTGACAACAGCATAGGTGAGGATTTGAAACAGCCCCCCAAAATGCGTCTGCCATTGAGACGATTGTTTGGAGACTGTGACGTGACGGGTGGTTTAAAATGTTTTATAATGTTGAGTAGGGATTGTTCCTCTCAACACATTCCCTCTACCAGATTAACCGAACTAAAATCTGAGCTATGTTGCTCTCAGATAAAGTCCTGGATACCCAAGAAAACAGCCATATTGGCTCGTTAAGTACTTTAACATTAGCTGAACTTGGTACCCACAAGAGAAGGCAAGGAATTTTAGATGTCTATAGCATTATAATGAATTATTAGACAGGGCAAATGATTCCTCCGTCATCTACCTTCTCCCGGTGTTATTATGAATAATTAAAGAATTATTATCATATTATTTGAGCCCCCACCAAATGGTATTCTATCCTAACAGTTTAATTAAACATGTAAGAACAGACATTTGGAATTTAACAAACTATGTAGTTTAAAACTTGACATACAGCTTTATTTACTACAATGAAATTACCAGTTTGTTGATTTACACAAACAGTGACTGGTTAATGAAAGTGATACGCTTCAGCGAGACAAACAGCTCGGGGTTTAGAGTGGTATGATAATGATGATAAAAGGTTAACATAAAGGGGTTAACTCAACTTATAAGCCTCTGACAGCCGTGAGGAACTGCCAAGCTTGTCCAACTCTTCCTTGCCTGTTGTCTGCCTGTTTCAGCTTATTCTCCACTTCATCCCCACCTCGTTCTCCACATCGTTCTCCACTTCGTTCTCCACCTCGTTCCCAGCTGGCCGAGTCTAACACAATGTAGTCTACGTCATGGACTGATCGTCACATGGGCGCTGTAATCATGGAAACAAAACACATACGTGTAGTATCTTGACTTACACTAAGAATACATGTATCAATTAATATAACATAGAATAATAAAATATAGCTTATCACTCCTCCTCATATTCCACATCCTCTCCAGTCTAGTCTGAAGGTCTTTTGTCTTACATGGGCGTCACATATCCTGCCTTCCCTCAAATGCTATGTCATGATAGTTGACTTTCTAAGTCTGTTGTCCGTCTTCACTCAGACTTCGAGTTGGCTGACATAGATTTGACATAAACATGTGGCGCAGGTTATGTGCTGAACCCGCAAACAATTTATATGTGCACGCTGTCCTGAATATTATCTTTCAGTGACCGTGAATTCTATACACCCATCATCCTTCCCCTGGGGTTATAAATCCCCTGTTCGGGTGAACACATTAAGTGAGCACATGGTGGGCACACAAAACGTAGCAGCATCCCTGCACATATGGGCTGGATTTCCCCACAGTCCAAACTCATGTTTTGGCTGATCATGGAAACAATATAATTACATTTCATTATAGCAAATGTCATTGTTCACATCTTATTTTATACACATGAAAACATACAATGAAAAACATGTGACACAAACACACAAGAAATAGGAATAGTTTAGCAGTTCCCTAACTTGAGATACTGAATACTCACACAGAACTATTTCAAGCAGAATGTGCAGACAAATTAGGAAAAGGTAGTATAGACTAAGCTTAACTCCCTAACCTATGTATACAAGATTAAAATTAATATTTTCTCTCACCTGGGAACTTTTCCATCTATCGCCAAACCAGAGTACGACAGTAAAATATACCTTTACGTCGACCTGTGTTTGTTTGCCGGCAGGCTGCGATTAATGACGGAAATTCCACAGGCTCGAAGTATAAGTATCAATCTATTGTCCAAATTAAACTCCTCCCTTTCCTTAGTTCTGCCCAACCCTCAAGACGATGACTTAAGCCACGCCTCCGGAGTACCCAACAGATCAACTTGGCTAACAAGTGGCCTGTCAGTCAATTCTGGACTGACATCCCTAGAGCAAACATTCTTAAGTGCCCAAATCTAGTTCACACCGAATCTAACTGGCCGGTGTGAAAGACGGTCAGTGGAGCCATTGTGTTTCCTACGTGACCAAGATCAAGATAAAACATTCCTAATTGCCAAACACCTGTTCTCTCCAGAATTACACTGACGTGTTAAACTCCGACCTCCCGGCTCCACAATGTCTAGCGTCTACTCAATTCCCCTGTTCAAAAGGGCCCCGCTCAGTCTCTACAGTCTGGTCAGGAGATAACATTCTGACACTGGCGTGAGAATAGAATTCCTAGCTACAGTGTAAGGTTTTAGGTAATATTGCCCAAGACTCAGTCGCTTTGTCTGGACTAAGGACTGGAAACGTTTAAATCAATACGGTTTAAAGTACATTTGGTTTAAGGGCATAGTCTCTTGTCTCTCAATAACCAGAAGAACTTATTACAAGTACTAACTTCTGGAATCACTGGGATCGTATCGTGACAGAGACTGTGCCCCCTCTGTTATTCTTTATAAATTTTTTATTCTCTTTCTGCCGAGGGTTTTATTTGCCCAGAATGAGAGGGACATCGAATAATGTGTATGAGCGTGAATATTTGTGTGTCTCTGTTGTTATGCATGTATGTGTGTGTATCTATTTGTGACGTGTGATTGCTTGTTTGCGTGTGTGTGTGTGTGCGCGCGCGTGAGCTAGGGGTTCGATAAGAAACTTGCTATGGTAAAACTTCACTTGAAAGAGATGAAGGAAGATAACTAATTGTTAGTGCAGTCATAGAGAGTTTTCAAGACAGAAATTGTCCAATCTAATGCTCTTTGCTTTGAACTAGACACGATTCTCGGCACACAATTATACCCAGCTTGTGTCTAGACGTTTCAGCAATTACAAAGGATGAATGGAATATATAATTATTTCAGATCTTCAAAAGGCAGCCTCTAGTTTACAAACCTAGAACTGGGCGAATTTCTTTTAATAATGCAATTCGAGAGGAAATGTCAAAGATAGAATTATTTAGATCACAAAGACTTCAACAACAACAACAACAAAAAAAGGTTACCAGGAACCACTTACTCACACAATCACAATCACACAAGTACACATACGCACGCGCGCGCGCACACACACACACACTAGATAATGCAAGGTAGGAAAGGGAAGTCTCAAAGTAATTTCCCGACCCATTTTGTCCTATTCTCTCTCTCTCTCTCTCTCTCTGCCTCTCCCCCCCCCCCTCCTCGCTCTTTATATCTCATCTCTCTGGAACTGGGTCACCCGACAAAAAACTGTTGGTGGTAACATTGCTCCACAAAAATGGTAACTGTGTGTCGCAGAGTGCGGTTATCAAAAAGAAGTGAGCTTTTACATTGAACGTACGCTTTCGTTCTGTAAATAACATTTGTCTGAATTGGTCGGCTCACTACACTCAGAGGACAGACAAGACGAACATATAACCAGATTGTGACCGGTTCCATCAGTACTGGAAATCTGCGATGGCTGCTGAAAATGAGGACGGAGCACGCATGGAAATGCCCGAGTGCTGTGACGTAATTTTTTCACTCAACTAAACTCATGAGTCTCAAATGAAATGTTAAAAATTTCCAGAACTATAATTTTTAATTTGTTTTTCTATAACAGAAATGAAATATTGAAGAAATGAAAGCTGATAATTTTTGTTGAAATATTTCTTTGATACGGGCAACGAATGAACGAGCGAACAAACTTGGTTTTCATCAGGTTTACATCTGTTTAGGAATTCATTTTTGACAGCATGAAGACCTGCATACTCTCAGCACAATACCGGATTCGGTTTGGGAAAGTTGGAATATGTTAAAATATTGAATGTCTTATAAATAAAGTAACTTATCGCAAAAGTTGAATGCGGCAAGACCAGGAGGCAGACTAAGAAATCGTTGTGGAAAAAATATACAACCTGGTCTACTCACACTTGTAGTCATTAAAGGGGACAAGAAACTCTATCACAGAGATGCATGGAAGCGGCTAATAAAAAAAAAACCCAAAGTGTTCGAAATTCTGAAGAAAGCACAATTTGTATAAGAATTAACAGACTGCATTGTGGCATTAACATAGGAGTGACTTACGTAATGCTATATTTGCGTCTACCCGCACGTGTGAATTAGTGAAAAGTGAACACGATCAAGCCAACTTTCAGCCGTGTAAACACCACCATAACAGTTTATATGTCAGCTAACATTAGTATGTTGTCGCCAGTGATCAATCAAACATCAGCCGTGTAAACACCACCATACACAGCTGAAATGTCAGCCAACATGAGTATGTTGTCGCCAATGATCAATCAAACATCAGCCGCCCTACTGGTCAGTAACGAACTCGCTTCCACAATCATGTTAATATTTGAACGTTTTCTCTTTCCTTGTATTGGCGTGTTGGGTATAGCAGGCAATGTGACTGGCATTGTCGCACTGACACGCGAAGGATTTAGGAACAATTCCAATGTACTGCTCTTGTCATTGTCTGTGTCTAACGTTCTCTTCTTGATTGGTATCAACAACATTCTAGTTCATATTTATAACAGCAGTGATCGTGCAGGATTCTCCTTCTCTGAAGCTATCAACTACGTGTGTTATATACTGCTATTAATATGGAGCTTACCGTACACAATGGGAGTATTTACAGGTCCACTCATCCCTGTTCTAATAACAGGTGAACGTATTCTAGTCATTTTCGGCCCATTCAGGGCCCATGTAATTCTAACACCACGGCGGACAATAGCAGTCCTTCTTTGCTTCTATCTTCTGACTGTGGTCTTGTTTGTATATCATGAGATACTTGGCTTACAGTTGAAGACGTATGTTATAAATAGTGTAACTACCTCGCTTATTGTCAGCAGTGATATGCGGAGAAATCATATCGACATTGGTCTGGTTGATTTGATGGAAACTGTAGTTAATTACCTGACAGGAATAATTCCACTGTCTCTGATAACCGTGGGTTGTGTTGTTATCGGAATCAAAATCATATGCGTCACCAAGAGACGCCGACAGTTGACCTCCAGTAAGGTCAAAGCCAACACTAAACACGGTATTACGAAGACAACGAAAACTTTACTGAAGATTTGCTTGCTGTATATTTGCTGTTACGGTTTTGGGTTTTCTCTCATATTCATTTTTGATAGTGAACTTTTGAAACACGAATCGTCACTCAAACTTGTTATGATACAAGTTCAAGATTTGTTAATGTGTACAAACTGTCTCGGAGACTTTTTTATTTACTGTGCATCAAACAAGAGGTTGTGGAAGTCAGTTACTGCGTGGCAGAGATGAAAATAAATTTAAAAAAAAGTAAAAGTGACCGACTTTCACGTAAAGTTGTTGGGTAAACATTGAAAAATGACCTTTTTTTTTTAATAACAGATAGAAAGATATAAGACCGAACGAAAAGTAGGTCAGCGAGCTTTACAATATAACAAAACACAACAAAATGTGAACATTATGGCTTTAGAGTCTTCATCAGCACATACATAAATGATCAAAATCCCTAAACTGAGTATCCAGAAGTAGCCACGTTGAAGTCCTGCCAGTGTAATGAGGTGACACCCTGGGTTCCGATAATAAATTGCCGTGGAATTCCAAGGGTCGTAATTCTAGAATTTTTAATTAAACTGTGTTGACAGTTCAGTTCCCTGGGCGTGAGCCGGCTCAAAGTTAAAAAACAAAACCATTAAAAATGCAATTTTCAAGAGATTTTCGGGCTCTGTCGCTGGAGATGCAAGATTTAATGGCTGTCACCTCCATGTCATGGACACCTTGGTGATCCTGGGAATTTTTTGACAGATGTATGAGACATTTGGTTGTGTTAGAAGATAAACTCTTTTTCAGATTTAAGAGCATAAGTTGCTGACACACACGTTGTGGATATATTTGTATTTAATATACATTAACTTCAATCTCAACAATGTTGCTGAATTTTATATTTTTTGTCTCTATGTTCATTGTTTGGTCGTAGACCACAAAGCAGAAACAGAACACGATGAGATAATTTCCAGATGTGGAAACATTTGATGTCACCAGCCGGAAAGCCAACCAGAGAGGTAGATGAAGGTGGGTGATATCTGCAGCTATGAACCTAAAGGGCTTGAAATACTGAAGAAAAATATGTAGAAGTTTTCAGTATTTGTTACGTCCCACAAAAACTTCAATAATTTTCCTCTTCTTCTTCACTTTTCCAGTCCTGATGTTTATCCCTATAGTCATCATGCATCTCTGTGACTGACCTTGTTTGTCTTGTTGGTGGCTGCAGCTGTTTGTTGGTCTTCTTCTTTTTCTTCTTCAGCATTTCGAGCCCTTGAGGTTCATTGCTGCAGATATCACCCGCCTCCATTCACCTCTCTGGTTGGCCTTCTCTTTCCACTGTCGTGGTTGTGTCATCTCATTGATACCAGGTTGTAGCACAGTGTCGTGGTTTTGTCATCTCACTGATACCTGGTTGTAGCCCAATGTCGTGATTTTGTCGTCTCACTGATACCAGTTTGCAACCCAGTGTTGTGGTTTTCTGTCTCACTGATACCAGGTTGTAGCCCGGTGTCGTGGTTTTCTAGATTTGTCTTGCTCTTCTCATGTAGTTTGAGTAATGCATCTGTTTATATTTTTGCAAATTTCAGCTACACCATTTATCCATCTCTTTCTTGGTCTTTCTCTCGCCTTGTTGCACTGTAAAAAGTCTCTATACAGTCTGGTCTGGCTGCAACCTCAGTAGACGGTCGAACCATTTCATTCGTTGTCTGTCAATATAATCCAGATATCGTCTTATTCAAACTTTCTCTCTAATCCTGGTGGTGGTAATCCTGTCTCATCTAGTCTTGGTAGTGACCTTGCATAGAGAGCGGATTTCATACCTAAGTCTGTGGGCCTTAGGTCTACACAGGATAAATTGGAAACTAGGCAAATTTTGGGGGAAGTAAAAGTCTCCTGCGAGATGTTGTCTTCATCATCCATTTAGTACCGACTAATCGTTGAAAATACAAGTTAAGCATCATATATATGAAACGCTAGTAGTGTAGGATGTCGTGGATCCAGAGTATAGGTGGACACATCAAGCATGGTGGCACCTGCCTGCAGGAAGCGACTGAAATGTGAGAGACTCAGCTTAAAGTATGTTCGCGTTCTCTACTGGAACTGCGCTTCGTTCAGTCAACGCCGACCCATTTTTGAGAAGCTCCTCTACAGCAACGACATTGTTGTCCTACAGGAAACACACCTCGGTGACGAGATCGTTAAAATTACGGGCTTCCAATCCTTCTACAATAGACGGCACCTCGGACAGCCTATTCTTGTTCGTGACCACATACCGGTGTCTGAGGTGGACATGTCTGAGTGGGATAATGACGACCTACAAGTACACGCAGTCAGAGTGTTGGACCCAGCCCAGTTTGTGATTGTCAATGTGTACGCCTGCAATGGAAAAGCGGATACAGCGAAAAGGCAGAGTTTGCTCCAGACGGAGGAAAAGAATGTCATTTACTGCGGAGATTTCAAAGCCAGAGGAAACCAGTGGAGCAATGTAATCACTAATAAACAGAGGGAAGACCTGGAGGATGGGCTAGTGTCTGCCGATCTAGTATGTTTGAACGACGAAAAGGTTACCCAAATAGCAACCCGACAAGGGGTTTCTGACAGCGTAATTGACCTGGCTCTAGTGTCTCCCTCCAGCTGCAAGAATAGGGGTTAATATGAAACTATCGATGCTGTGCGAGAACACTGCGCTAGGCACTGATTTCACAATCACTGCAGATACCTTAAGAACTTGCCTCAAGAAATTGCGCACCACTGCTCCAGGCCCTGACGGCATCCGATACAACGACATGCTGATGATGTCGAATGCTGATTTGAAAAGTGTGGCAAAGAAATTCAATATCAGCATCAAGAGTGGCCAGATACAAGAGGAATGGCTCCATAGTTATTTGTTCCCACTACCAAAGCCGAATAAAGACCACTCAAAGATCTGCGGCTACAGAATCCTCTCGATGCAGAATACCGGTGGCAAACTTTTGGAAAAAATAGTCGCACAAAGATTGACAACCTACTTGGAACTACATGATAAGTTCGCATCAACACTTGGAGAGTACAGGTTGAATAAAGAGACATGGTTCAATGCTGCAGTTTTCGCCTACGATGTGTACGAGGGATTTCAGATTAAAGAAGAGACATGTGCGGCAGTGTTGGACTTAGAAGATGCCTACAATAAAGTACCATATGATTATTTAATGCAATTACTGCTTAAACTAGAAGTCAATCCTATTCTGATCCGCTGGATTGCTGCGGTCCTGTTCCAGAGAAAGATTGTACTAAGATGTGGTATCTGGTCCTCAGAACCGCAAACGATATGTCCAGGCTTGCCACAGGGATCACCGCTATCACCAGTCTTATTCAACGTTTATACGGTGATGATCACTGAGCAGCAGTTGAGTGGAAAGCACTACCCTTAGTTAGTTAGTTAGTTAGTTAGTTAGTTAGTTAGTTAGTTAGTTAGTTAGTTAGTTAGTTAGTTAGTTAGTTAGTTAGTTAGTTAGTTAGTTAGTTAGTTAGTTAGTTAGTTAGTTAGTTAGTTAGTTAGTTAGTTAGATAGTTAGTTGGGTTATCATCATTGCACTCCGGACATGTCCATAGGTGCTCAGATCCTACCCTCAGTATGAACCCCAACGTCCGATGGCTAATAGTACCAGTTCTATGTCGAAGGATTGACATAGGCATTGGAACCATCATACCAGGCGGCAATTCGATCAAGTTCTTTGTGCATTGTGCTGGCGATCTCCTGTCTATCACGTCCTCGTCGATAAATCAAAATGTCATTTGTCATTTGCTGATGACATTTTGGTTTATCGACGAGGGCGTGATAGACAGGAGATCGCCAGCACAATGCACAAAGAACTTGATCGAATTGCCGCCTGGTGTGATGGTTCCAATGCCTATGTCAATCCTTCGAAGGCATAGGTGTCATGGTTGTCTTTGAACAATCACATTGTCAAGTCGGACTTACCAGAAGTGAAAATGCGTGATAATGTATTGATCCGAACCAACGTTATGACGTTTCTCGGGGTGAGGTTCGATCGCAGCTTGTCATTCAGGGAACACGTTGACCATGTGATAACAAAAGCACGCAAAGGTCTATCTGCAATGAGGATTATGGCTGCTTCAGATATCAAGCAAAGACTACTAATACTTCTATTTTACGGTCTGGTCCTTTCCCCCATTGAATACGCTCTGGCCATCCTCACTGTCAGTGCTACCCAGATTGAACGACTCGAAAAGGTGCAAAATGAAGCCATGCGCATTATTTTGGGATGTACAAGAGACACATTCTGAGGAGCAATGAGATATCTACTTGACTTTCCAACAATGAACTAAAGGATCAGGATGTGGAGGGCTCGGGCATACCTCAAAATATGTGCTGATAAGAAACACCCACTGCATCAAGCGCTTTTTAGTGAAAAGGGCGACAGACTGAAGAGGTGAAAATCGTGGCTAGGTGGGGCAGAAGATGTTATTAGGCAAATATGCAGCCTAACCGACATCATACCTGGTGCAGAATGGATACCTGTGCCTCAGGCGTTTATTTGTACATTTTCCTGTACTGTCACACTCAACAGGCGATGTAGAGAAAAGAATCCTCTTGCTGTAAATGCAGAGGTCAACGCTCTCATCGGTGAAAATTCAGACGAAGCAGATACACTAATCTATGCAGACGGATCCGTTATACGCCAAAGAAGAAGCTCATGGGCATTCACAGCACGCTCAGCGGGCAAAACAGTCAAAGAAGCCAACGGCGCCTTCTCCATGACAACCAGCAGCATGACGATGGTGGTGATGGCAGTGACGCAAGCGTTTGCCTGGCTTGAAACACAAAAAAACACCCGCGTATGTATACTCAGTGATTCAATGAGTATGATCCGGAGGGTTCAGGCAGGTTCAGGGCAAAGACAATGGCTTGAATCAATACAGAAGTCCACTGTGCGTGGAGTCACCTTTATTTTTGTTCCGGGATGCGCAGGCGTCGATGGAAATGAAAGAGCTGACAGGCTGGCTGGATCCGCTATCACTACCGACGGTCAGCCTATGGATCATGCTGATATTATCAATGCCCTCAGAGAAATGGGAAGGATAGAGGACTTTGGTGGCAGTGAATCCACATCACTCGCCAGAATGGCAGACTTGGGAATTAAGATCGGCACAGCAAAAAACGAGACGCACACCAGACACGTCAGAAGACTTGTTAATTAACATAGAACTGGTACTATTAGCCATCGGACGTTGGGGTTCATACTGAG